TTGGTGATAACATTAATTTTGAGCCAACTAATGATAAATGTTTAGGAGTGAAGAACACAATCAGGTAAGACATGTTCTCATGCATTTAATTAATGCTACAGCTTAGGAATGAAAGGTGCTATGTACAATATGAAAGAGTTCTATCATTAACAAGTCTTTTTTTGTTTTTTGTTTTCATTATCTTCATAAATGACATCACTCAAAAATAAGAAAAGGAAAAATCCTCAGACAAACACAATCATTTCAATATGAAAACACTGTATGCCTCCATAACATCATAATATAGAAGCATAAATGGAGAATGAATCAACAACAGTTCCTTTAAATTAAAACATCAGAATATTATTTGCTTATATATGTCCACATTATTTTTAATTTATAAAAAAAAAAAAATCTTAATTGTAAATGCACTGAGTAGGAAGTACTCAGGAATGGGAGAAAGAACGTTGACAATGTTTTTCAGATATATTACAAACGAAGACAATTTTTTCTCTCCAAAAGTTATACACATCTATCATCATAAATGTAACTCAAGAGCGCCATCTTACTCATAAGTTTAGTTACACACACCTGACTCCACACATAACTCAAGAGCTCCATCTTACTCATAAGTTTAGTTACACACACCTGACTCCACACGTAACTCAAGAGCTCCATCTTACTCATAAGTTTAGTTACACACACCTGACGCCACACATAACTCAAGAGCTCCATCTTACTCAAAAGTTTACTTACACACACCTGACTCCACACATAACTCAAGAGCTCCATCCTACTCATAAGTTTACTTACACACACCTGACTCCACACATAACTCAAGAGCTCCATTTTACTCATACGTTTAGTTAAACACATCTGACTCCACACATAACTCAAGAGCTCCATCTTACTCATAAGTTTAGTTACAAACACCTGACTCCACACGTATTTCAAGAGCTCCATTTTACTCATAAGTTTAGTTACAAACACCTGACACCAGAGGCGTATCAAACTGATTCACACAATTTAGACAAAATTAAGATCTTGATTTATATTTTGCTTTTAAAGAAATAAACATTTACATAAAACTTTAAATAAACATAAGATAAAGTTTTGGAATCTTCAATCAGGACTTACATCAGTGCCATGACCAATAAAAAAAATTGTTTCATGACAATTACCAGTTTTTTTTTTTTGTACATAAATAAAGAATAATTTATTAAAGTATTCATTATTTTAAACTGAACCCATATCATAGTCATCATCATACTGATCCAGGTAGCCAATGGGGAAAGCAGTCTTTGAGGCCAGAGTCCAAAGTGAAAAATGCAAATGTCTTACTTTATCTTTATCTGTGTATATGTGGGATCTGTGGTCTGGCTTTTGTGCTAGGTAATTGAGAACTATGTTCTTAGTGCTGCCTTCCAAACTGAATAGATGAACTAAAAAATGTTCTGACATATTACATTTTATCCAAGTTCTACAATGCAATGTTAGATCCATGAGGAGGCATTTAGCTTGAAACTACCTCCACAAATTCTATACCTACCAAAAAAAAGGTTAAAATTTTAACTATTGAGCTTGTCTATGAGGAAAATAATAATTCTGCTACTTAAAAGATTTGCAAACTATTTAAAAAAAAACAACAAAAAAAAACTATTAATATCCTTTACCATAGCCAACAAAACCCTATAAATAATTTCCTATGTAATATTTGGGGCATTCAAGTTTTGGAGTATTTATGATAGACTGACAAAATATAGCCTCAGATAAAAAGAATAAAGTAAATATTTTAAACTTTTAGAGAAAACTTGGCATAACCATGAAGAGACTGGTCTATTGTTTTATAAATTAAAACTAAGAACAATTCAATAGAAATACATGGTGCACAAAACAGTAGTGTATATAACAATGGCAGATTTTAAAAAAAGTAAACAAAGAAAAAAACCTTAATAAAAAAAAACACTACACATGCATATTCACTTTTGTTACCTCTGGGAGTTTAAAATTGATTGATTCCTTATTGACATGTCAAATCTCACTTTTAAGTAGCCCAATGGAATTTTCAACAATAGAGAATGCAGATAAATTATCACAATCACATTCTTAAAAAAAAACTCAGCTTCGGGCAAGTCTACATTAAACAAATGTTTCTACCTTTCTGGTGGATGGACCAAGCAAAAAAAACCAACAACCCCACTATGCAGGGTTAATCAAATTCATATCAACACTAATGGACTGTGGTATCATCTATTACACACAAAACTTATATCCTTGCTTTAAATGCTGGTGCTAATGGCTGGTTTTTGTGTGATGAACAAGCTGAGAGCATCCTGTGAATCATCTTGCGCATACAAAACATACCTCATGAATGCCAGGTAAACACAAAGCATGAATAAACAGGTTCTACTAAATTAATGTTTGTACAATTTTGAACAACCACAAACATTGTACATTTTGTACACCAAAGGATTGAAGCCTTCTCTAGCAAAGATATACAATTTTGTATAGTTCAAAAGATGGTATTTTTTTGCAAGTGGACAACCATAAAATATTTATCTAGTCAACATATAATCACCATATTTCAAAATTCTATAATACTTCCGGGACCACAATTATTGGAGTGAATAATACTTTCATAAAATTGTATGTCTTACTTTTATCTGTTCTGCACCACATAAGTGGCCATCATTCCCAGTTTATATCAAAATTTCAATAAATACGACTGGGGCTGCTTACGTTACATTGATAATTGAGACCATTTCATTATGAGAAGAAATCCTACAACCTGAAATAGATTCCCTTAAATACGACGCTAGGCAAATATGAAAACTTCCTAAATGACACTACACATTAAGCAAACATCCACGTGATATTATTCATTATTGTTAAGCAGTGGCGTAGCTAGGGTTAGTGCCCAGGGTGGGACAAAACATTTGTGCCCCCCCCCAAGCTGTTTGAAAACGTCACCTCTCAATATGTAGAGAAAAGTGCAGCCTGGGGTGGACCATCTCCTATGCCTCACCTTTCCTACCACAGTGTTGTAAATTTAATCCAGGACTAATTTTATTTGACTAAAATTTCAATATGAGAACAAATCTACTGAACTTAAATATTACTCTAGGCATTTGAACACTAACCCATATAATGTAAACATACATTCAATGTTGATCTGTTATTGACTTAATCCAGAGCTACTAGTATGAGACAATTTATATATACTATGAATAAATCTTTATGTAATAAAACACTTGCCCCTGTATGCTGCCTCTTAATACAATTATGCAACAGATCTGCCACTTTTGCTATTATTTTCTATCTAGATGACATTGTGTGCTACAACAACATAACCAGCCTTTAAGTTATATGACCAGATGCTACACTCCTCCATAACATCAATGGAAACATAATATTGATAAATATAATTATAGCAGCTCATGTCACACAATCTGTGTGGTCTAGGACTCAAGGTACAGAATAATAACTCATCACAAATGACAGCACTGACATGGATTTTTAATAACAAGTCTATTATTATAGATCGTTACGATATAATTTTAAATAAAAATATGATATTCCTATTCTGTTAATAAAAATTAATCTGAGGCCTAAATAAACAAGGGACCAATGAAACAGTCAAATTATAGAGAAATATCCGTGATGTTAGTCTGAAGCTACTCTTGTGCATCTTTCATATAGTTGGGTTTTACTACATCTACAGATGTACACAAAATAAATAGTAGTTGACTTTACCAAAGAATTTTCAAGTGTGAACTCATTCACAACTGCATCACTGGAAGAGTAGCAGTGAATCGGCTTGTTTTTTTAAAAAAGAACTTGCCCCTTTCCTAACCCAAGCCCCCCCCCCCAATGACTAACCTCCCATTATGTCATAAATAGTCCTACCAGTGCCCCCCACCCCCTTCCTCAATGACTAACCTCCCATTATGTCATAAATAGTCCTACCAGTGCACTGCTTTGGGGACTAATTTAAATTTTAACTACTATTTTAAAGTGAAAGACTTTAATGAATTCAATCAATACACACATATAGTTGCATCAAACCCATTTTTTTTAACCATGTCATGTCATTTTAATGACATTAATCCCTCTGTTGCAACCATTGCATATGTAATGATGGAAAAAGTTTTGATCTTTCAAATAAATATTTTAAGATTATAACACTCACAAAAAATTGTCAATGATCAAATAAAACTGTTTAAGTATTTTTTGAACTACCGGTACCTGATATGCAAAAAATGTACACTGAAAAACAAAAAAACAGGGGAAAAAAATCTAGCCAATTAAATATTATTTTATGACATCAATCTTTGACAAAGATCTTTGACATTGAAGTGCAGAACAATGTCATTAATCCAAACTTCACACCACTTGAAAAAGATTTCTAAAAATTGGTTATTCAGAGGAGATGTACAGAAGCGTAGTTCAGATTAGTTACAAAATAAATATATGGATGTGTAAGAAAATTAATGGGAAAAAAGGTCTTGTACATGCAATCCACAAATGAAATCACTTACATACTTTTTAGGTGTGCATTTACCAATACACTGGTTATATATTAAATAATCTTGTTTTTAAAAAAAAAAAACATATCCAAACTAACAGAAAAATCATTGCCTCTTCTCTTTCCAGGGTTACCGAGAGTTTAATCATAACTTAAAAAAATAAATTATGAAGTATAAAACTGTTATCTTTCAAACATAACCTAAAAAAATAATTCAGTAAAACTGTTTAAAACATAAAAAGCTATAAATATCATATATTATCGAGCAAACAGGATTACAAAGCCCAAGCTTGATAATGAATTACAGCACCATCAACTACACAAATAATTCCTCTTACATTCAATGTTTCATTTTTAAAAAAAATCTATTTTTTAGTCTTCTTTAAATGAACTAGAACAATTTTAACAACAATAATTCTTTCAAGACAAGACATTACATCAATGCAAGACAGATATATATATAACATATATATCGTTTTTAAAAAATAAACTACTCTGTCACTCTTGTAAAACAACATATTTTATAGCAACTCAATGTTGTTGAGGTGAATTACGGTGTGAAAAATTGAATCCTAATGGGGAATATAATTATGTTGTCATCTCACTGGCGAATTGAAACAAAAGAAAAATAATTAATTGCATTTGTCCCCAAAAGGGAAATTTGTAGAAGGTAACACTTCATTCCCTAAGACGGCATCCATTTATCAGGACAAAAACTGCATTTCACTTTAAATAAATAGCTTTCAATATATATTTTTTCACCACAGTTTGAGCCACTTAGTTTCCTCTTAACTAAATAATCATATTTAGAAATATAAATTTTGCTTTATGCTGTAGTGAAACTTCAGAGGCCTTGACTTATGGTAGCACACTGTAGCAACATCAAAACATTGCCCCCATAAGTTCAGTGCTTTACTGTACTTTGCTCATCTTCACAATATGTCTTATATGCATTTGAACCTGTGAACCAAAAGAGACCAAAAAAAAAGAAGGTGAAGAATTTGATAGTCTTTAACAAATTTGTTTTTTAATGGCTCAAACTGCTTTTATTTCTGCCATTGACAATGTGAGCTGAAAACTTTAGTATGGAAAGACACAAATAATGTAGGTGATTTGAAGAACTAGAAAGGTTAAATTTTATTTGTGACAAAACTCTATAAATACATGTGAATAATAATAATATATAATTAGCAGAAATTAACTTTCAATCTACATTGTAAAATTAAATTTGTGCTAAATTACACATAAGTCAACGTTTTAGATTCTGTTGCATACTTAGTGTCTTTGTGTTTTGCTGAATGACAGCGAGAGAAGAGTTGCTGGCTCAATAATATAAAATTTACTGAACATTTTCTAGATCTCCACAATATTTTACCTGCACATTTTAAAAATTAATTAGTTGAAACTAAAAAGCTACAATTAAGTTCAAATATTCGTATGACCAAGTTTCTATGACTAAGCCATGTGATCATCAGTTTTTATTGTTTGGCATTCTTATCACTATAATCAGTGTTGAAATTCTCATCATTATGATCATACAAGTATTAAGAAAGCAAGAAGAAATCACATTACAATGCAAAAGGTAGTGTAAACAGTTTTCTCTCATGGTCACTTTTAAATGTCACAGTAAAATCCCAAAAGCTAGGGCAGTTAGGAAAATTATAGAGAATTAAATTTAAATCTAATGCTTATGGAGGTGACAAATAATTAACATGTTTCTAGTAAGACTTACCCTTTTTCTGTGTATCACTGATTTCTGACCATTCTAAAACAAACAAATTTATGTTGAAATTGATTTAAATTGCTTAAATCACTCATTTAAATCACTGATTTTATATTGCATGTATCTAGAAATAGTATCAGCTAGAATTTTATCATAAATATAAACTAAGCAACAAAATTTTATCGATGACTTTCAACAAATGTACAAACACACAACTCTAATAGATTTTGAAAAAAGATTAGATCCATATTCTAGTAATTGGATGCAGTGTGTCATAAGTGGTGAGATGTATGTAATAAGGAAGGATTTGTGAAATGTTTTTTGAAAGCGTTCCTGAGATCTTGGGCCTGGATCAGATGATCCATGTATGAGTTTTCCCTATATGAGCTACATAAATTTAAAAAATCGTGATTTTGCGCTGCATCTAGGTCGTTCGTGAACATTTAATCTAAGTTTTTTTCATAGGCGCATAAAAATGAACGTCTGTCCGGTGATAGCTTTGCTCATTACACAATAACATTGTGTTGGGGGCTAATGTATTTGACGCTTGAAGATAGTAAAATGTATCATTATTGAATAAACATTCCTAGACCAAGGTGGTCAACCTTTTTCCAAAATAGCCACAGATGCAGTAGTGGCCAGTGAAAAGTAAAATTTGCCACACTATTTATAAATCACTACTATTAAATCAAAAGAGAGTAAATAGTTTTGCTTAAAATCAACTGCAACAAATCTAAAATAACTTACTTTTCTTAAGGAAGCTGCCAATTTCTGCGTAGTTTACTCCAGCTTTGACAGCATTCGGCGGTACAAAGAGAAGTTTTCCACAACCTCCTCTTGGTTCAATCTTCAATCCATACACTACAGGAATTAAAGTCTTTAGAACATCTGGTCCTAGGTTAGCAAATTTAGCTTCACTTGATGCCAACATTTTTACAGAATTAACTGGTCTGCTTACTTCAACTAATGAATGATCGGCTGCAGTAGCCATTAAACTAACTTTACTTGGTTTACTTGCACTGGCTTGCAAAGATAAAGAGGTAGTGGCACTGGCAGTATTATAACTTCTGCTAGTGGTGGAAACATCTCCTTGGGAAATGGGTGGTGGGGGATGATTGGGTGAGAAAATCAATCCAACTGAAGTGGAGCCAGAGCTCTGGTTTGGTGTGGACATGCCAGAGCCAACCTTGCTGGTGCTAATATTGGTGACAGAGGGAAGCACTTGTTGACTACCCTCATCACTACTTGGAGGCTCCATTTTTACCACATGAGCATTAGTTCTGTTATCACAACTGTTTGCCACTAGGCTTTGTTCGCCAGCAGTACAAGGAAGAATAAGACCATTACAGTGCCCCTCTATGTGTGGACCTTTAAGAACTAGAGATTTATCACTAATGGAAGAAACACACAAGTCTGACTTGTTTGCAGCACCACTCAGAGGTGGAATGTGAGAGAATTGCTGTGAAGAAGAAACAGCCGACGTGACGGCGGTGATGACTGAAGTTGGCTGTGAATGACTTATAACTGGACTAGTTGAATCAGGCATCGACTCTAAGTCAAAGCCAAAAGTAATCCCAATATCCTGAGGAGAATTACTAAATCGTTTATCTAAGAACACAACCGATTTAGTGTTGTTGCCACTGTTGCATTTCTTGGTGGTGTCCAGAACAAGTGAGACAGGCTTGTTCCTGCCAGCCCCACCAGTTACCTTGGTCATACTGCTCATGGTTACATAGGGGATGTTAGAATGCAGGACGGGCAGTTCTATTCCGCTGTGGCCTGTATTGAGGCTATTGTGCTCCAGGCTCATCTTATCACAGGAAGACTGAAGTTGTTTTGGTGGCTGAGAAGCATGGGTTGAACCTAATTCACCAGGACTTGCAGATGGTGATGAAACTGGGCACAGAACTGAAGGCAAAGGACTTATAACAAAGGGATTGATCTTCTCTGAATGGAAAGAGTTAATCTTGGCAGTTTTGTGGACATCTTCATCTTGCAACTGAGAACTCGTAGGAATATCCCCTTCACAAATTTCAGCTCTTTCAGGTGGTTCACTGTTAGTATTTTCTAAATGTACCTCTCTGGTAAAAATTTCCTGACTACCACTCTTCTGACGATTGCGCTGGGAGATGCACTCTATCTCAGCTTTGTCCTCTGGACTGGAGCCTATTGAATGTCGCCGCTCGCGAGGGCTACCTTTCCAGACAGTGGGCTTTCGTTCTGGAGTGGTATTGGGATTAGGACAGGGCTGAGGAGCTATATCTATGCTGCCAGTTGGGGTCTGCATTATATTGCTGTCAACACTGCTGTTCTGAGAACCACTAGCCACACCAGATTCTGAACTGGGACTGTTGTTGCTGTCGTATCTTGGAGGTGCTGCAACCATGGTGGCATAGGAGACTGGGTAGGTGTCACTGCTGGGTCTTCCCCCGTGTGTCACTGGCAGTGATTTGACAGACTCCCTGTCACTGTCATACAAGTTTCTATTATCCATTGCATCCGTGTCAAACTCACCACAAGAATTGCGCCTTTGACCTGTTCCAGATAAACTAGGAAACGATGATGGACTTAGGTCCCGTGGCATGTGAGGTTGATCATTCACAACAAGTGAATACATGTTTGAAGCCAAGTTTCCATTAACTGGAGAGCCACCAGGTTTCTGTCGAGGATGGTTGCGATAAAATGTCACATTAGAATTAAAATTTCTTGTGTGTGATGAAACGGCGCTTGCTAAATTGTTGCCCCCAACTCGCTTCTTCTTCTTTTTAACTTCAGTAAAAGATTCTTCTCTTTTCAGATCAGGAATCAAATCTGCCTCGGTATGGCTGTTAGTGGTAATAATTTTTGTGGGCACAGACGAGTTGCCTGCTGACTTGACTTCATCATTTTTAATATGAGACACCCTAGAAAAATGTAACAGACCATCCCTAGTCTCATGATTTTTTACTTTTTCTACGTTGGAAATAATATTATCCTTCTTTGAGCCAAAGTCATTTTCAATCTTTGAAGTTTTTAAACCAGAATGCTCAGTTAATTTCTTAATGTTTCCTAAATTAGAATGTTCTCCTAAGTCATTGGATTTTTCTGCAGGTTTAAAAACTTCAAAATCATCGGTTTTGAGATTAGAAATGAAATTGCCTCCATCAGTTTTGGCACCTGCATCGCTTGAATGAATAGCAGATGCTGAAGAAACTGCCATGAGCTCACTGCTAATGTCTGCTGCATTTGTTTGAACTTTCCCTGAAATGGGAAAATTTAACAGGACGTTTTAATTTAAAATAAAAATTGAATTGAAATAAATATAAGTTAACTAATTGAGAGATTACAAAATATATCCATATAGGAAGTTAACTAACAAATAAGCATTGCAAAAATATTTTCCCATTCGTCATATGGTAATGAAAGGATCAACTCACAGGTGGATAAACTTCACAAATACTCTTTAAAAAAATTAAAGCTAAATTTGAACATAATAGGTGAAAACAAAAATAAATAGACAAGTAATTTTCCTTTATTCAACCAAACCAAAGATGGCATGTCTATTTTCGTCCCACTGACTCCAGCAAATAATAGTGAGTTGAGCAATAAAACGCTCTTTTAAACACACAACAACTTAATTACTGGTACCTTCATCTTTCTTTTCCTCTGAAAAAGAACCATGCTTTTCTTTTTTGTTATTTCGATCCTGTTTCTTTTTTGTTTTACTTTCCATCTTGGCTGCCCCATTACTAGTAGGAGTTTCTTTAGAAAGTTCTTTGTCAGCAACTTTTCCATTTATGAAGAATAAAATATCTTCAAGGGGCAAATTTCCCTTGTAGTCAGAAACAGTCTCTGCTAAGATGACCGGGTCTTTCTTGGGCCGGTGCTTGCGCTGTCTAGTTCCTTCTGTGCCAGACAATGCACTGCGAGCACTGCTGCTTAGAATAGCAGTTCCCAGTGACGCATTTTCTGCTCCCCCTGGAGATTTACGCAACTGTGAATAATATGTCAAGTCTTTCTGTTTTGGATTACCATTGACATCAAGTAAACCAAGATTTAGTTGGTCCACTGCATTTTGACTATCTGAAGATTTTAAAAAAAATTTTTAAATAAATTTTTTAAAATATAAGTATGTTCTGCCTTAAGGATAAAAAAAATATTTTAAAGCAGCATTAGGATATCAATGGATAAACTGATAAACTAAGAAACAAGAGTAACATTTATATGATCTCCCACCCCATCCCTTTTTTAAAAATATCAATACAAAAATGTGCCTATGTTGCTGAATGTAATACAACTCACCTTTATGATGACCCATTCTTATAGAGTCATCAAAGCTAAAGCTTGTGCCATTATATAATGGCTGATCTTTTTCCAATCTGGTATACTGATCAATGTTGATAGACTTATCTACAGGCTGCTTTTGGTATGGGTGATCATCAGATTCATCATCAGACAGCTCTTTAACATTGTTCTGAGGCATGTAATCCCAATAGTTTCTCTCATGATTACTCCTGCTGCTTGTAGGCTGTCTTGGAGGAACACTCTCACAAAGCTGTGGCGTTTCTTTGTAAGACAGTGTTTCCATCTCTGTGCCCTCATCCATAAGGTTGTATTCATCGTGAGTGACAGAAGTCTCACTACGTGGGGACTCAATGGATGAGTCCCCAGTGCTGGAGTCTATTTTAACCTCTTCATCGTATGGAGGGTTAAATGTTGGTGTTATTCTCACGTGGTTGGTTTGACAATGTAACAGAATGTCATCGGCTCCAGTTCGATCCTCCTCGTTGGCTTCTCCCACAAGGCTTTCAGAGAACTTACACGAGGCCAGACCAGAGTCTTCATCTTGAAATGATCTGCTCAACTTTGGAGAAGAACTATGAAGTAGAATGGGGGATTTCAGGTTTAAGTCCGTACCACTACCAATACAAGAACTGCTAATATCATTTTGTAGAAGGTTAGTAGGAGGTGTAGTACTCCTTCGATTATATTGATTCATGCTGGACCGACCTGGAGCCAGACTGAAAGTTCTTGCGTTGATGACTAGTTTGTTAAACTCATGGTCAGGCAGTTCAGATACTTGTCTTGCACCCTCTTTAATTGATTGAAGCTGTATTTTTAAAAAAATAAGAAGATAAATAATTTATCATGTCAAATGTTTTTTTTAAAATCATCTAGCTATGAGTTATATCATGAAATAACATTCTCGGTAGAAAGCCTGAAATACCTTAATAATTTAAATTTTGATTTTACATGTTTTTTTCTTCATCTAGAGAATTCTTGTGACACCTGAGAACAAAATATAACTGTAATGCGTCAGCTCTAAAGTATTTGATGTTATAAAGCAATCTAAGCCCGTTTTTTTCAAAAACCCCTTTTTTTAAAAAAAAAAATTTATTTTTTTTTAATTTTATAAAAAAATCTCCCCCCCCCCCCCCCCCCAAAATTTTATGTAAGATATCTTTTATCAAACACTAAGAAGATAAAAATGAAAAAATTTGGTTTTCCGACTAATTTTATTTCAGAAACAAAATTCAATTGTTTCTCTATGTGACTTGAGCATATTAAAAGAAAATTAGCTGTTTATTTAATTTATAATGTATCAAAGAAGTGAAATATCAACACCACCACAATTAGATGAAAAACAGACTAACATAACCTTTCAATGATTTCAAAACAAGACAAACATTACAAAAATAAATATTCACTTTATGGTCCTTAATTTTTTTTTAAATATCCGCCTTTTAATCGTTGTAAAATTGATGCTTTTTGAAAAGAAAATGTCTAATACCTATATCAGCATTTCAATCATTGTGAAATTTAGATGTGTTGCTGGCATATAAATGTGGTCATTTATAAAAAGTACCGTTATTATTAATACAAATATTGACCACTAAGAGTAATATTTTAGCACTGTATCTCTATTTATGCAAATGTGACTACCCTAATTGCTGATTAAAAAATCTTCGCACTGATAGTCAACACTACAAAATGATGATTTAGTTCACCTTTTTCTGAAACAGAACAAAATTAACAACATAAATCATTTTAATTTAAAAATCAGTTGCATTCTTAGTTTAAAATATGGAGTTGCAAGTGCCAACTACTGATAAACTGTTTCTTGTCTTTGCCAAAGTGTTATACATTTAATACAAAGGCCTTCAAAATGGATAATCAGTTGAAAATGATTATCATTTCCCCCCAAAATAATATTCAAATCTTTTCACTTAAACATATCAAACACAGGCCTTTCATAAAAGTTAAAATAGTAATGATTAAGGCAAAAAGGTATCTGGGTTGAGTACAGTTTGAAAAACTCATTTGGTAGCCAAAGGCTCATGGATAATACAAATATGGCCATGTGACTTATTACCTATACATTTTAAACACATTAACAAACAAAAATTAGTTTTAAAAATAGTTTAAAGTTTGTAAAATCTAAATACCACTTTCTAAAAAATAGAATAACAAAAAAATATATTTTCTGTTAATGAATATGGAAAAAAAGTTTATCAAAAAATTAACGCCCATATCCAGGTAGATAAGAGTTACTTGTATATTAACTTATTATCAGCTCAGTATTAAAATACTAGGCCTTGTTAATAATACTATTCAAGTCAAACATCTTTGCCATGATAAGATATGTGCTTTCAGATGAACTATGCAATTTATTACACCAGAAAGAACATAATAACATTGGTTTCAAGTCTTCCTCAATTCTATTTCTCTATCCAAATAACTAATTATAGATCTTAATATTAAAAAATAATAAATAAATTCAGGCACTTGAAAAAAAAATTAATTTATTGAGTTAGTCAAGTAACATTTTTTATTTTTAAAAATAAAATAAAAAATTCTTTCCTCATCAAACTACCTTGAACATATTACTTTAATTGCACTATAAATATGTTTATGTAATCAAATGGCAGCATTTTACATTACAGTATTGTCATTGCAATGAATGTGAAATTGAATAAAGATTGTCAAGGAATTAAAAAATTAAAGAAATTGAAATTGCATAAAGCATCACAAATTTTCAAATCATGGCAAAAAAAGAACAAAAATCTAAATACTTATTTCAGCAGAAAATTTTATCCGTTCTTATAAAAGAAACTATCCAAATCAAGCAATCACAAAATACAGACTGCTACATTTTATGCTCACGTTTTCTACTTCTCCTGCATACTGACAATATTTGAATGGGAAGGAGCAATAGAAAATCCACACTAATTTTTAGGAACTTATTTAGAAAACAATTTCAGCTATAAACTTTTCAATAAATATGAGATTCACTAATATCCATAAATGACATCAACATCTAGGGATGGGGCATGAATTTGTGATGATGAATTATTAGGGATTCTAAATTGTTTGACACATTATTGATTATGGGGGTGGGGGAAAATCGACCCAAAAGACATAAAAAATCTAAGCCCAAAAATCATCAACTTTATCCACTCAATCTCAAGTATTGAGATTTTATAATAATTTTGAATACATCGAAATTATGCCTGATTAAAAAATTAATTTTACTGGAGATTAGGCCAATATAACGGGCATAAAACTTGCCTAGAATATGTGATACGATAAGGTTGGTTATTAGTTAATCTCAATTCTTAAGTAGTTTCCTAAATTCACTTGTTATACCAAATGTCAAAGCATAAAATTACTTAGGCTATTTGAACTATTCTTTCTCCCAGATTCCATAGGCTTGGGACCAAAAAATAATCAAGATGAATTTATTTTAATAATACAATAATAATAGCCATGGCCATAGGTTAAGAAAAGGTGTCCCTATAACAAACTGAACAAAAAGCCAGTAAAAGTTTTAAAAATTTCTAAACTGGATCAATAACACCTTCATTTGTTTTATTAAAAATTAAATTAGCCAATTATTTCAATTAGATTTACAGCTGATTTAATTTATGCCTACTATTTCCCTAATTCAGACTGCAAGGCCTGTGCCTAATTTAAAAACAAACAAAAAGAAAAAGACATTATGTTTGAGTTTGCTTATACTTATACTATTATTGGGGGTATACAATAGACTATATAATATAAATATAAGAAACAATTTGATGGTTTAATTAATAAATTTAACTAAACATTATATGTAAAAAGAAATGCAGTCTATATATACAATGGAAGCCTATTCTATAAAATAAGCTTAGACTTAGAGCTACTAACTTAGCAGGGGAAATATATCACCGGCTGTCCCAATAGGGCCCAAAAGTTTCGGCCTCCGTCAAAATCAGTCATAGTCATACCCCTGCCCACAAGGGAAGTCAAGGCCATATAAACCACTACGATCACGTCATTGGATGATATCCATTCTAACTTTCAAAATATTTTAAATTACTGGCTTCTTTATGAAATAAATACGCATTTATTAACACGCAATAAAAATAAATACGTATGTTTAAAAGTGGCATGCTACCGCGTCTGAAGTTATTTACCGTATTACAAGCGAGTAGGCAGTCCGAGTAGTAGGAGGAACCACCACCACCATGACCCACGTCATATCGTTTATACTTTAAATATTTACACGACTTAATCCCAAGTAAAGCAAGAATGCCGATTGCGAAATTTCATTCCTTAATACACAAAATAAGATAACTTTATATATGCTCAAACACAGATTACACAGAAAACTTGCATGATATTTACCAGTCTCTGAAACTAAACTATTTTGCCCAGGACCTGGACGTATAATGAATATGATAATTTAAAAGTTCGTGAAATACCCCGGAAATAGAATATAAAGGCAAGGGAAATAACTAGGTCATGTTAAACTATATCTTTTAAAATATAACAATTTCTTGTACTTGTAACAAACAGCTTATTTACTGTAGAAGATGATAAGATGAAAGTATAAAATAAAGATTAGCATTATTAAATTGTAATATAATAAGTAAAGAACAGCCTTGTGGCACTAAGAACTTATACTTTTTAAATACAAAAATGAAAAATACATAATCCAAGTATTTTTTCCAAGAATAAATTTAAGAATTTTATACATTTTTATATTGCCAAAAAATAATACTCACTAACCCTAAGATCACTTATAGATTTGGGAATCAGGCTGTCATATATCATCAACAACTGTTCAGAATCATCGTTCCGTAAGGCACTACCGAGGAGAAATGCGTATTTACTGTCGTCTTCTGTGTTCCCTTCCGTCATATCCATTTTGGTATGTGGCCATATTGAAAATACTACCGTCGCCAAGCAAGAAATCTCTCGCGAGACGTTGGTGCTGTAATAATAGCAACAAATAGCAAGCATAGCCGAACATCCTTTTTCTTCCGGGTAACCGGGTTAAAATATTTACCGTTTGTGCGTGTTTTTGTCGCGAGTTACTGTAAAAATGCCATTATTTCTAATATTAGTATGAAAATCGATTATACCTTTGTTTAAAAAAAAGATTGTAATAATAATAAAGCATAGGGATCGTATCGATATACGAGATATTACAATAATAAATTTCAGCTCAGTAAATCTTTCAATGACACTTAAACTTCAATTCAATTCAATAATTGTCAATTATTTCCCATATTCATATAAATCCACCAACAACCAAGCATCCAATCGACTATTGACATAATTTATATAGCCTATCTATCTATCTATCATAGTATCTATGTCTGCCTGCCTGCCTGCCTGCATGCATATATATGCATTCGATGGTCCTTGTCGACTTCGACGGGCGAACAACAACATATATATAATATATATATATAATATAATATATATATATATATATATTATATATATATATATATATATTA